TAGCAAAATAGAAAAAAGCTATTTTTTTCAAGTCTTTTCCTTTTAATGGTTAAAGTAAAGACAAGCTTTTAATTTTGTTAGCGCACCATTTGTTATTTTCTGTCKGAACCAGAAATCACCGTGGCCTGAACTCCTGGGGCGTTACGTTTTCATTGAACACATTAGAAGTTTTATTTAGAGGAAGTCGATCTTATCTGAAAAAAAAAAAAACTACTATAATATTCCACGTTATGCAGAATAAAGTTTGAGTGCAGCCATTGCAAAGATGTTTAGAATTTCTGGTATCGCTACATATTAAAAACAACAATCATAAATTTATTTTGGATTTAACTAAGCGAAGTAAAAATCGAACACTGTGGATTTTTTATTTGTTCTATTTTATGTTTTTACATTTAAAACAGAAAAACAACACGGTTGTTTTCCTTGAAGATTTTTTTTGAAACAGAAAAACACAAAAAACAAAGACTGAACCACACACAGATTGTAATTGCAGACCTTATTTGGCAGTTCTGTCACAAAAACTGTGACATAATAGTTCAGAAAACATCATAATAAAGAGTAAAAACTGAAACATGTGACCTATAATATAAGGACATCTTTGCAGCACCAGAAAAAAAACTAAATTAAACTTTTCTGAACTCCTAGTCTCCAAGTAATAAAATGCATTTAATGGCTAAAAAAATGGATTTTGCATTTGTCCCCTTTAGAGCCTGAAATAATGTTGGTTCAGGAGAATCCAACTGTTTWCTTGTGTCTTTCAATGAGACGTTTTTCCAGATGTGGACCACCTCTCCACCTCAGGTGGTCTTCCCATCATCCAGAGACTTCATCAGATTAACTCAGCTCACAGTTTCCTCAGCTGCTTTACACACCTGCCCCTCATCTCAGCTGACAGCACCTGTTTCCTGCCTTGTAGGAAGTTTATTAAACCACTAATTACTGTTTTGGATTCACACTGACTTGTCATGAAGACAGATGCACACACACTGATGATTTACAAGCGTGGACACATTCAGGATACACGGGTGCTACTTCCCCATAATTAGAACCATTAATATTGCTTAAAGCTACTTTCAGTACTACTGGATTCAGGTATATAGCTTTTTTAGAAAATCTGCACGTCTAAACTAAAACTGTTTTTTTTTCATGATTGAGTGTTGCATTTAAGTTGTCAAAATCATAATTTTACACACTAGTTGAAAACCATGTAAAGTAGCAGAGTATTTGGAGGTGTAGGAGTTTTCCTCTATGACCTACTATGACCTGAAAGCAGACAGGAAACACAGACAGGACTCCATGCAACCTTCAGGTGAAAATGAAGACCCCAAACCCAGACCCAAACCAGTGGTTATTCCGTATGTTGCGGGTGTTTTGGAGAAACTGAGACGTTTATTTTCTAAACATGATGTCCCAGTAGCTTTTGTCGTATATTTTCAAGTGTGTATGTCTCTTTAAGGCGTGAACGAGCCCAGGTGGGGACGCGCTTCTCTGGGCACGCGCTTTCTTTGTTCAGAGTTCTCCAGACGATCTAGCTGTTAGCAACCTCTCTCTCTCTTCTCTCGTAAATAAACATGTCTAGAAGCTGAAGCATCGTCTTTTCTTCATTCAAGTGTTAGCAGAACGAGGCTTTTAACATTCAGCAGCTACAGACGAGGACGCTCACTGATTTTCCAGCGAAACCACCGAAGATACAGCAGCCACCAGAGTGAGCAGACCAGCAGACGGACAGGAGACGAGAGAC